TATTACAGACCTTGGTTGAGAAATGACAGACACAGAGCTGCACATTCTTTTTCCCCCCCCCCCCTTTTTTTTTTCTCTTTTCCCTTCTCCTTCCTTCAGCAGGAAAAATACATAGTGGCGTGTCAAGTGAATGAAACTTACAGATAGCAGTGGTATCGCAACTTTGCCTAGAAAGTCAGCACTCCGATCGCGGTCCTCATCATAAACTGTCACTTCAAGAACTGAGTGGATGTCTTTAACATTGCTACAGAGGAAAAAGCAGACGTGGAGGAAAGACTTCACCTACACCAGAAGTTACCAAGGACAAAAGTGCAAAAGGGTAGCAAAGCCAGAAAACCTTGTACTTTGTCAGGCCAAGGGCAGAGAGCAAAATTCAAGTGAATTAGGCATCTTTCTGTACAACCCAAGCGCTCTCAAGGAGCTGCAGCAATTGTGTGCTTTGCAGGGCTTTGCCAGAAGTTTTCTGAAAGATATTGCTTTAAATTTTCTACCTGGTGCTAACATTGCATGAGTTGCAAAGGAGCCATCATGTAGCAGTGCCGGGGATTTACCGTGGCAGACAGAAGAACAGGAGCCTTACAGCCACATTCAAACACTGCTATTTTTGCTCTAATTTCTACTGCAAATACTGTGCTATCTGCAGCTTCACAAGTGAAAATCATCATCAGATACATGAGCACATCCTTGTAGAGAGAATGAGCTCTTTAATTTTAAAATCCTTGCTTAATTACAAACATACAGCAGTCATTACAACAAATTACAACAAGCAATGGGAAGCAACGTGTTTTTCAACTAGTTCTCTTCCTTGCCTGCAAGCCTTTAAACCCTCCACGAACACACACAACAAACATCACAGTAAAATGCAGACTCTCAAGTGAAAAAATCACATTCCTTACTGTGAGAAAAGATACCAGAATTGTTTGAGAGAAGTTATCTTCAAAACTAAATGACAAATTTGAGAATAACTGATAAACATATAAGATAGGTAAAAACTTTCTTTTAAGGTAGTTTAGAGTTTTTCTATTTGTTTCCTGACTAGTCTTTTGTTCTATAAATCAGGCAGCTCCTTACATAGAGAACACCGTCAAGCAATGCATGTTGATTACTTACTGGCTCTATAAGTAGATAATTAAAAATAAAATGAAGAATTTAGCATGTTTGAATAATGAGAACTAAGTTAATAAGATAATGAGAAGTACAACTATTGTGAGATTTTTTCTTTGTTCAGAGTTCATTCTGAGAATCAACTGCAAGCAAGGCAAGGAAAGCTCCGGATGCCACGTATGCAAACAACAAACAGAGGAAACAAATACAAAGATTAAAGTCAGGCTGTGCTTTGAGATCAAGGACAAAACACAACACTTTCACTTATGATAAAGTTAGATAAATGCACACAAAGCTAAAGCCTCTATTAGTTTTGCAGGGGATTACTAGAACATTTCAGCAGCAGAGGAACCTGCAGCTGATCTGTGTTTCTGCTCAGTGATGTCACACTGCAGTCAGAGAGAAACTGGGAGAAACATAAGGCAACAGATCAAGAAAAGTAACGGGGAAAAATAACATTCTGTTGGTAGAAAACTTTTTCCTACTTTATTAAAACCTTTTACTGTCTTGAAATTAACAGAGGAAAAAAATAGGTACTGTATTACTTCCCAATAAACTAAACACTTAAGACTACATTTTGCCCAATAGCAGCACTGCACTATTACGATGCTAGAACACATTATGAGAAACACAGTTGGCAAATGGACATAATGAGTTCATATAAACATACAAAGACTATAATTCAGAAAAGTATGAATGCATTTAAAATACCTCCTTTTTCGTAGCTTTCTAGTGTTTACTACAATTACAACATTGTAACAGAGATAACAAAATCCTTTCTTTCTCACACAAATCTTCAGGGTCAAAATCACTGCGGTTCTTCAAATTTCCATTAAAGACTGCAAAGTCCAGATGTTTAGCATTTCACATTGCTGGTTTACTAGACACAGATTTTACTGTTTCTTTTTTTTTTTGGAATTGTTAAAATTGTACATTTTTTATATTTTAAAAGTTTGAAAGTTTATACTTTTTCATGTTTTTAATTCTAAGACAAGTATTCACCTGTTTACTTCAGAGACAGCAGTATGTCATCAGGCAGACTACTTTCACTGGGATCAACAGAAAGTATATTTGATCTTATACTTTCTCTTCAAAAAAAAAGAAAGAGAAAAAAAACCCACAAATGAAACCCAAAATAAAAAGAATCAAACTCTTACAAAACCCAAACACCTACAATGTGAAGATCTTGTTCCATTCTGGGTTGAGGTTCTTGTAGACGGTATGTGTCAGCAGTCTGTCATTGTTCAGTTCAACAACACAAAATGGGTCACTTTTACCTATTAAGAAAGAATTTGGAACAAATTTTATGAATTGAGAAAACTCACTGTGAGCAACTTTAAAATCAAGATTACTTGTCTTTCTAAGCTGCTTTTTAAATCACCCAATAATTAATTCAGGTAAGTCCTATGATGATGTTCAATATAATACAAGTCTAACAGAGTGTTCATCCCTGTAATCTATTAACATTTATCACTAAAACAACATCTTTTTGTGAAGGCAAAGGGCAAGAGGAGGAAAAGGAGAAAGATGAAAAAATTGCCATACTGATTTTGATGATCAAAACCAGCATGTTCCCAAAAGGTACCAAGCACCCTTCTGACACAGATAAGTGAATTTTTATCATGCCAATCCTATGTTGACTGGAATGGTAACATAATTGGATAATTTTGATATTTTGGAAGTTTATTATCCCTTGGATATTATTCCTTGAATAACTTCTTCTGGAAGTTTATTATGATTTGTAATAATATAGCTTCTATGATACTTATCCAAAGATTATTATAATTTGCTGTACAAATCTTTTCCTCAAAATCAAACAGCCTTAAAGACAGTCTCAGATAAAAGCCTAACACCTGAGAAAACAGGCAAGTACAATTAAGCAATAAGACAGTATCAGCTGGAATGGTGGGCTGTAGTCTCAGCACAGAAGAGGCTCAAACATGGTTGAGATTTTTGTATACATTAATGCACAATGAAGTAGCTTCGTGTATGTATACAAGAAGGTCCCTTAGCATGAAAGGCAATACATGAGAAAGTATGAAGATACTGCTTTGAAAATTTAATACACAGGTAATGGAAACAACGTACTTGCCTGGGTATTGAAGTTGTTGGTTTGGCTTTTTTTTTAATATAAAAGGAAAGGAAATACATGTGGGGAATGCCTCCAAAATGTGTGGCATCTTAGAGTCAATTACTTACAGAGACCTGTACTCAACTACCAGTCAAGCAGATAGCAAGAAAAACCACTCTTATTAGAAGTAGGAGGAACATATACAAGCTACATAAGCTTTTTCTTAGATATTCTCAACACCAGGGTTTGTATTTGGAAAGCAAAAGAAAGCAATTTGACATCTGAATCACATGCTTAGCAACAGTTTACCTGTATAAAAAGGGAGTTCTCCAAAGAGAGAAGAAGCAAAAGAAGAGAAAGATTTCAAGGGCATCCCTGAATTTTCCTGGAGTGAAGGGTAAGAATGTATAGATCTGAGGAACAGCTATGATGGAAGAAGCAATCATGAAAACATGAGGAGTCATAGTGTGAAGACAGATGCAGTAAAGAGCCATTCAAGGGAATAAATCATAGTGCAGCATAAAATTTTAAATTATGGCAGCAACAACAATAACTGTAAATGCTGGCGAAGACAGAGGGATGCTCTCTCTCTTAGTTTGATTTCATCCAATAGCTGAAAGGCACAATCTGATGCTCACTGTTTTACTATTACACCAATTAGCAAAATGAAACTATTAGTTTCATTCACAACCAGGTATGCTACTGGCAAATCTGAACACTGTAAAGTGATCATGCTTCTAGCTTGGCTGACTTCTGTGTCTGACATTTGCCCTCAGCACAGAACACAAGTGTATGTATTATTTTCATTTAAGGCCACAAAGCTGAAAAATATATTGCTGCTCCCAGAACCCAAGTAAGATTTTTTCTGTTGAAATTAAGAACTTAATTGCATATTACAGAGTGAGTCACTCTTGTCTCTGGACTTTATTTGGGTGGCAGTGCTGAAAAGTTATTGAGTGTTGGCAGTGGCCTTCCACAGTCAAGTCTAGCTCACTATGCAATTGCATTTCACAGTGTCTTCAATAATTCCGTCATGCTATGTCATGTATCATAAGAAGCTATAAATTGATTAGCTCAATGGGGCTACATTAATGATATTAAGAAGGCATGTAATTTGTTTCATACCTTATACAAATGACAATGAAATCAATATTTAGACAAAACTGTCCAGGGGTCAAATCTTCCAAACTGCAATATTGATTCAGACTACATCAGAGGTTAATGTGCATATTATTAACTTTAATGACAAAGAATAATTGTTTTAAACACATTGTGAGCTACAGTTAGAATAGATGTTTACCATTTCCAGAACACAGAATATCACTGAATCTGTCCGATTAAACTTGAAAAAGGATTAATTCTTTAGTCACTGTAACAACAACACAAAAAACAAAAACAAATAACAAAAACCAAACTCCTGGTAGTTACAGTAACAAGGCAAAACTGACCCCCCCAAAAAAAAAGAAAAAAAAAAAAAAAAAAAGGTGAGCGGGGTGTTTTCATTTACTACCTCAGTCATACAGAATAAAATGCACTGGAGTGTCTAAAAGAACACTCTGGGAAAACAAAAAAACAAAAAAACAAAAAAAACATTTAATTAGATGCATTTATTTTCTGTATCTGTTGATATGCACTTTTTCAATGATTCTCATTAAATTTATGAGTATCAATCCATTTAAGAATGCTAAATATATAAGATAATATAAGATATATAAGGTAAATATAAAGAATGCATAATTAATCACAGAAGTCCTTGATAAACCAAAGACAAACAGTTTTCAGAAAGGAAAGAATCGTTCTCTCATGCTCACCTTTTCAAGTAGCTTACCTATCTTCCCAATTAAGTGGAGAATAGTTTGAGACCAACGCTGACAAAAGGAAGTATTATGAAAAGGTACATGCAAAGGCTCGAATACCATGGTTTGCAAGTAGAACTTTCCCTACTACGAAATCTGTGCTAAGGCATACTGCTTTAAGCATAAGAGAAAACTATGAAGTTCCTCTGCAAGAACTTTCACCACCGCCTATAGGTGCTTATTCTGTATACGAAAAAATGCAAAACTAAGTTGAGTATCAGAAAGAATACTCTTAGTTGACATGTAAAACATACAACATGTGCAAAAATTATTTGGATACCAACACAAATAAGTGAACATGACCAAGAAAGATAAGGCCTAAGAAATGTAGAAGTGCTTGATACAACTCACATCCGTCATCCTTCAAGTTCTCATTATTAGAAATAATAACTACAATCTTACCTCTCACTGATCACTATGGCAACCTGCCACATTGCAAGAGTCTAAAGTAATGGGACCATTCCTATTGAAAGCCTTAAGTAAGCAATAATAATACTTAAAAGGCGATGTCCTTAGATTTGCTTAGTCTCTGGGCTCAGGAAATCCAGGGACTGACAACATATACTCATCACTGGGTTATTGCCAAACCAGTATCTTAAATACAATGCATATTTTAACCAAGCTATGCAACTTTTGAGTAGTTAATGAAGCTGGCAATTGAAAAGAAAAAAAAAAAGTAAAAAAAAGTAAACCCTTTTTATTTCTGTATTAAAGAAAGAAACATGTTCAGAAATGCATGTGATATCTACCTAACAGTCCTAAAAGTACACTACAAAACTTTCAATTAGACTTGAGCTGCCTAAGCTCAACTACATCAGTCTAAATTGTATCATTATCACAAGTATGCCCTCTACTACAAACTGAATCACAACTGTCATATATCACCTTGTATCACCTGTCACATGTCAAGAAATTTTACCCAAACCTATGTGTCTACTGAGGCTGCCATAACTAGCTTCCTAGTCTGTGCCCTTCAGAGGACTTCAGCTTCTGATTTGATGACTTCAGAGGCACCTAAGTGTATTGATCAGGATGATATCCACAAACTGCATCCAAATATAGCCCTAAACACGTGTGCTTAGTGCTGTGCAAGAAATGATAAGACCATCACCTGGCACTCACACATTACAGCATGCTCTCAGCATGACTGAAACTAGTACTTGCGATTCTGAGTAATCCTATGACCTTAGTGGGACTAATCACTATTATGTCTGGCACTGTTTGTAGGAATTCATAAAATGAGTAGGTAGTAAAACCAGTAAAGTACACCTTCCCAGTGACTGAAATCAAACCTGGAGTAAACCTCAATAAGAAGTAAAACAAATGTCATTAATCCACTCTGCTACTGTAATGTCACGTGTTTTTTGAACTCTACTTGTAGACTTCTAAAGGCTCCTAAAATTATGGAAATAAAGTGCTAATTTAAATAATCCTCACAGTCATCTAGAAAAGAAATCAGCCTGTATTTTGATGGACCATTCTCACTCTTTTCTCCTCTTTATTCATTACAGACTCATACTCCCAGAGAATTACACCCAGAAGGTATTGCACTTCATACTGTAAGCTCCTGCTTAAAGAAATTAAAGAACTACTTATCTTTTGAAGCTTCCCACTTTATTTATTATACCACAGATTGCAACCAGTTTGACAGATATCCATTCTGTGCAATGCTGTATTGTATTTAATGTTTCAGCAGTCAGCAAGACCAGAGTGCAAACTGAGATTGTTGCACTTAGATCTACATAAATTATTTTACTTTATTCAATCAGAAGTGAGTCCCTCACATTGAACATTACAATCACAGGAAGCCCTTGGCTTCATTATCAGGAGTGCAGAAGGATGTTAATTGGAACAACTTTTTTTCTCTTTAAGGATATGCAATACACTTTTTTTACTATAAAAAAGACTTAAGTAGTGACAATGTTGAATTGCTTCTCAAAATACTTAGAAAATGAAAACAGCAAAACCCCAAACTATTTTATCTTCTGACTCATTTTCCTCAAGCAGCTACAGCACCACATTATCTAACAGTTCTGTTGTGTTTTGGAAAGTTTGAGAAATGACTGTTTCACAAATTCAAAGACCACTGTTCCTAGATAAGCAGGCTTGTTATGCTCTACTTAATTAGCAAGCACAAAAGATGTTAGGTAACTTGCAAACACTTAAACACTGATGTTGTATGCTTAAAGAAATCTAAGTAGTGCATTCATTTCAGAGATGCACGTTGCTGCAGCCCATCTTCCAGGCTTGAGGTGATGTAAAGTTTCTATACAGGCTCTATATGACATCAACTCCAGCGGGCAACAGGTCCAGCCAAACCAACAAAGTGAGTTTCACCTCCAGTTCAACT